TACAGCTGCCCAAGTTCCAAATTTCCTCTTGGTCAAAGATATCAGAGATATAATTTATAAATACAAGATTTGCTTTAAAAAGTGTGCAAAACAAAGTCCTTTGTCCATTGTAATTTGATTTAAATTTAGTTCACTTTGTATTTCGATTATAATTGTAATACAAACTTTAAAACTTTTTCTTCACACATTATAAAGAATTCAGAATAGCATGCAATATGAAATATATAATCTCACATTAAAATTTACACCCGGCAATAAGGAGACTGTCAAGTCCTCCTACTGTAATTGTGGCTTTGATTTCTTTAAAATACAGTTTTGGCTGCGTTATTTATTATATGGATGGAATACTTCATGATAAGCATTAAATCAAGATAATATTCATACTCAAACCATAAAGATGTGCTTTGCCAATTACTGTATACAATAACACCGTCATTGTTCATTGTATTCTTTAAATGTATCAATGCCAACAAGTGCTTAAATTATGCTGTGAATACGCTCTCAATGAATAAACATTAAGGAAGCATGTATCAGCAAATACCAAAACGACCACAAAAATCCCGCAAGTATAATAGTGGTCTTGAGCTAGCAGAAATCACATTTATAAAGTGTTGGGATTAGCTTCTCAAAGCAAGTTACAGATTATTTCAAGCATATACAGAATTGAACAGCCTTTAAGAATGAATTTAAAACACTGGAAAAATGAGCTGCATTTAGTAGGGAGGAACATAGCGATGCAGGACAATTTTTTTTTTTTTTTCTCCTTGTTTGGCCTGGAACAAGTTACTTAAAGTCACTGGACTTTCCTCCTTGTAACAGAGAGGTTGGAATAATTCAAGGGTGTCGGAAGCTTCCCTTCTGAGGTTTGAAACTGATTTTGTACACAGAAACTTGCACTCAATGAGTCAAGGAAATAACATTATATATGGCCTTGAGAATCAGCAGGTTAGGACCAAAGACCATAAACTCCTCTAGATGGTACAGCTATCTTCCAAAAGAGCAATGTGGTGCTTATGGTGGCACAGATATTAAGTAGCAGAAGACCAGAATTGCCCACTACACTAAACATAGACTTTGGAGCTTCGATTACAGAGACAATGGGAATATTTTAAATACAAAATGTCTACAAAGAAAACAGCTAAAATAACAAGGAAGTGTCATAACAATTGCTCAGATGATTACATAATATGCTGTCAACTTTATTAAGTTTCTGTTTTCCTCAAAATCTGTTTTCCCGTACCTAACAGGTAAAAATCATTAACAGTAGTCTATTTTCTGCAGAGCATTTTCTCAGAATTCATCCATTAGTGTCATAATAATCATATAAACAGAAAAATACAACAAACAGTTTAAATATTAAAAGCAATTTTTCTCTTTTTTTTGGCATTAAAAAAAATAAAAGCAGAGTACTGCAAGATGTAGTCTGAGTAGGGAGATCCTACACCTGGGCAGGTACATGGGAATCTGTTTTCATTTAATCAAAATATATAATTTCTTTTATTAAAATGTTAATGCTCTACTTCGTAAAGCATCATGCAAAACCACAAACAGCTTTAGCAACATACTGATAAGAAGGATCGAGAATCTTCATCCCATATCCTACATTATTTAGTCACGCACCCAAATTCACAACCAAAGAACAAGTTGTGCTATTTACCTAGATGTTCTCCAACACACCACTGCATTTTCAACAGAGATCGACAACTGTGGAGTAGAAAATGAGCCCTCTTCCACTGGCATCACAAATAACATGCAGAGAGGGGCCCTCCTTTAAAAGACAATTAGAGCATTAAGTCCTATTTTGCTCTTCTTGTTCTCTTCAGCGTTGCCCTTCTTAAAAACCACGATCATTTCCCTTAAATAATTCAACCTAAGTGTTTACAGTGATCAGCCATAACAATAAATTCATCAGACTGTTTAGAAGCATAAAAGGTAGTCCCCCTCCTCATTTGATCTAATTTCACTATGCTTCAATTCCAGTGACTGCCTCTAATTGTGCAGTAAGATACACACAAACAAAATTATGATACCCCATTGGAGAACTCATTTTGGTCAACTTTTTACCTACTTGTTCTCTGCATATTCGTTCCCTCTTCACATTTTCGTTATGACCTCAAAATCCCCAGAAACATCAGAAGCATATCACCCCATTTTTACATCAAGGTGGTTAACACAGGATGAACAGGGATGCCATCCTTCTGTCACAAAAAATTACAACACATTGGTAATTATGGTAGGACTTGTACCTTTGCCATTCTAGAATATGATGCAAGAAGAAAATTTAGATCAAGAGACTTGGTGCTTTATTTTGTTTGTTCTTTGGTTTATTTTTAAGAAAAAAAAAAAAGCAAGCCACTGATTTATTTAGGAAAACAGTGGTCTAAATGGAATAAATGGATTTTTTGTTTGGTTTCTTTTTTTTTTGATTTTGAGACAGAACTTCTACAGAGGACCATAACACACACATCAGCTCTGTTCTTCTCACCTTCTTACTTACTTTCTCTTAATAATCACATACTTGTTATCAGTTAGCAGTTTTCCTTAGTGGATTCATGGCCTCAGATTCTTTTCTCTGAGCAGGTCCAGTTGGCAACAGTATAACACCAAGCTCTTGATTAAACATTAGCTTTGTTCCCTTGTTTGCTCCTTAAAAGCTCCAACAATGAAGAATCAGTAGCAGCAGAAATTTCACAAAAATCAAGAACACTACTACATTACAGTTCTTTTTAAGAACTGTAATAAGTTTTAGAGAAGTCTAAATCACTCCAGAGCATGCTTGATGACTTTCTCTGTCCCGTCTTTTTTTGCATCTAGACATCAGTTACTACTTAACATCTCCATACCAGCTGAAGAGTACAGAAGGAACGGCAGCCTATTTTGTATAGAAAAACAAAGATTTGCATTAAGAGAAGCTAATGGCAAGAAAGGCAATGTTATTTCTATAAATCTGTGACTTTTGTAACTCTAATCCTCTAATTAAAATCCTATGCTACATCATCATTCTTTCCCTTCTACTTTTCCACCTGTGATGCACAATGTATATTAAGTGGCTTCATATAAACAAGGAACACAAAAGCATCCTCTCCAATTTACCTATTTAAATTTCTAGAAATTTCTCTTCCATGGTTTGTTAGGAACAGTACCTTTTGTTTATACTTTTGTATAACATGGAAGCACGATCTTAAGTAAGCTTGATTATGAATGAATGTTCTTGTCAGCTACAAGCAGATGCATGTCCATACACATGAAAGGCAGACATGAATCTTCACAATTTAAGGGCTTCAAAGCCAGGAAATCTCTACCACCTACATTCAATCTAATTTCAAGTTCTGTTAAGCAAAGCGATAGCTGAGAAATGACAGTTACCAGTCAGAGTGTACCTCAGCTGCTGCACTATTACAAACACAAAGTCTTGAACTTTAGAAGTTACCTGAGTAAAATCAAGCAGATTATGATCAATCAATAGTAGAAAAAAATAAAGTTATACTATCTTTACCTCTGATACAATGATCTTTTTCGGATCTGAAAAAGCCTTGTGAAGTACAGAGCACAGGCTCAAAGTGAGGTACAGAGATTTATCCAAGATTTACGGGAAGTCTAGTGAGATACAAACAGAACAGATACACCCAAGGTACTGATTCAGAGCTCTATACAAAAGGCACTTCAAAGCAGGGCTCACCAAATTATTTTTTAGTTTGGAGAAAATAATACTTGCTTCAATACACAGAGCAACTACCACAAAGTAACAGGTTACTGAGGGGCACTGACTTCATGGTGACTACCTGCATACCCCACAGCAAATGCCAATCATTCCAGGTAGCCCACCCTTTAATCTAACCACCTTGCATTACCAAATCACCATTACAGACAGCTAGCTAGACCTTAGACACAAACCTACATATGATTTACCAAAAAAAGGACAACAAAATGCAACTAACTTTGTAGCATGTGTGTTCGGTGTGCACTGCTTATAAATGGAATAAGGTACTATAATGTCAGATGCTCCTTACACATCTAGTAGACAAAACCTACTGTTGCAGCCTCAGCTCTTCTATTACACTACAGCTTAACACCTCACACAATCCAGTGTCATAACCTCACTTCTGTGTACCGAAAGCATAAGCAGAAGTTACATACACAAGCAAACTCTTCTTAAAAGGTTAACCTAGAACTAAAAGCTAGAAGAAAACTGCAGAGACATGTTTTTTCCCCCCCATTTTGGAGCTCTACTATGCAGTAGCTTTTGCAACAAGAGAAGCAGGAGAGCTTCTATGTAAAACAGAGTAGCAAGGTTGTAATACCTGAGTCACGTAGCTAGTGAGAAGTAATGGAATTGCTTCTCATTCAAATTGCTGAATTTAGTAGGATACAACATTTGTAAAATGTAGTAAACTACAACAGTCTTCTCAATTGTAGCATGTAAACCCATTCCATCTTAGACAGAAAATACGTTGCAGCAAACAATAACAACCCTGATTCGGGCAGTTGAGTAATTGTATAAAGAAGTAATTTTTACACTGTAAATGAAAAGTATTTTAAAAAATTTGTGTTCCATGTCTCAAATACTGCTAATATACAAAGACAGTAGGGATCTAGTAATCAGTAATTCTAAAGGAGAGAATGTTGATAATTACAGTAAGTTACTAAACAGGATAATTTCCCAATTATATTGCCAAATACAGTCTGTCTGGAGTGCACTTCAAAACAAGAGAAAAGCTTTCACATTTGTGATTTCACTACATTGCTTAAAACAGCTGGTGAAAAATCACCAATCTTCCACACAAGTTAAAACATGCAGGCTTTTTATTTCTCTTTGTTAAATCCAGAAGCTATTTTGAAAATAAAAATCCCATGGTTTTTGAAACTACTTTTGAATTTTCTTAATTTACTTCTGAATTTACATGCAAAATTCTAATTCACTCCTTCATTAATGAAAAAAAAGTACAACTTTACCAGGATTGAAAGTATTTATTGCAAAGGTTACAAATACTTGTTCCTACCTCCACTTTTGTTCGGTAGAGAATGAGACGCTTGAGGCTGCCCACTTTGGCTATGTGGTTGAAAGCCTGAGGTGGTATTTTATCACATGATGAGAGATTTAATTCCTGAAGATTTGGACACGTTTCAGTAATGACCTCCAAGCATGTTTCATTGAGGAAATGGCCACAAGACAACTCAAGACGTACTAGTTCAGAGCCACAAACTTTCAAGAACCTGTAAAAAACACATTTTAAGTGAAAAGTAAACGTACTTTCAGGTGCGAGTCTGAATACTGTCAAAACCTTAAGCATGTAAACCAGGAAACAGCTCCTTTCAACAATGAAAAGCCTACAGACCACAGCTCTTATGTCACCTCCGTTAACTAATAGAAAACATGATTAGGTTAAAGTAAATGAATCATAACCACCCTGAAGAAGTTACTTCTGAATCACATCTGTACAAATCCAGAAGAGACCAAACTAATTAGGTTTTGAGTTAGAGAGCAATATTCAAAAACCAAAAGGTAGTCAGAGAGTCAAGGCTGTTTCACCAACATTAACTTGAGACTGTACCTAACCTAGATATTACACAATGTTTTGTACAAAGGAATATTTGACTACATATATTTTAAGAAACACAGAAGGCTATATTAATGCTATACATGGCATAAGGAGGCTAACGTCACTAAAGCAGCCTTAAAAAGCAATTCTACCTTGAAAAAGAATGGCATAAGAATCATTGGGGGTGAGAACAGTACAGAGAGGGCTTTTTATTAAATTAACATTAGTCTTGAAAACTCTGTTTCAGTTTAGAAAGTTGGAACATGCTTTCTTCTTGCCATTTACTCTGAGACAATGGAGCAAAGTACAACACAGGTAATGTTTGAAATGCTTTTAAGCAGTCCCCGAAGCCAATTCTGACAATGGCCTGCAAGTATCCACCGATGATTTCACATTTATCTTTATCTCAGAAAAATCTGCAAACGGAAAAATGATGTTAAACAAATACTTTTAAATGGGTGAAATATTCAAAAGTTTAAGACTTTCAGAAAAATAGCTCATTCCTTTCATTAACAAATAAGTCAAAATCAACACTTTGTAGCTGTTCTAGAACACAGAGATTCCTAAGGACTATTTCACATGACTTTCATTGGAAGTAAAAAAATGTAAGATATTAGAAGACAAAATATCCAAAATTTAGAAACTCTGATGTTCTCTGCATGAATTACACCTTCTGTCAGAGATCTTGTGTCAGAAATCCAAGCTCTATTATATCTCATTGAAGCTTTTAATTAAAAACACATAAGCTTATGTCCCTTTTTGTTGCAAAGATAACCTTCAAACTGTGAGTCAATCACTAGGCTTGTAAGTTTGATATTTAGTAGGAAAAAAAACCCTCACACATTTGCAGTGATTTTGTTATACTTTAAGTTTCTCCAGTAGAAAAAACTAAGTTCCTAACCTATGGGCTGCAATGAGTTCCCCCTGTTACTTCCTAGAATAGTGGAGCTACTTGTGAGAGAGCATGAAGAAGTTTCTCACAATAAATGTGTTGATCTGCTCTATTACCAGTTCTAGCCTACAAAAAACTTCATGCAGACAAAGCAGCTTTAGATTCTGACACTTTTACTGCAAAGTTAGTATTACTTTTTGGGTTTAACTCACATAATAGAAATGCCAGAGAGACAGGACGCTTCTGCTTGCACAAAACCTCCTACTGCTACTACCACTAAACAGGTACTAGCCTTCCCAAGACTCTGCTCCTGATGAAACTTAGGATGAAATAGCTGCTGGTCTTA